GGATATAGCAAAGGCTGTGGACATTGAGACACAACCTGGCATGTATGGCCACAGTACATTCGGTAAATCTTAATGTAACCTGTTTACAAGATCACCTGTGATAGCAGTTTGGCTGAGATTGCACAAACAATTTTTCCTTCATAATGTGACAATGTGCCTTGAGAAGGAAGAAAAAAAAACTTGTTTGTGTAAGAATTCCAAATGGGAGCGAAGGCAGACATTTTAGGACTGGCGGGCGTCAAACAAGGTGTAAAAAGCATTGCCACAGAGATTACCTGCTGTAGGACATTTTTTGCTCTGCATCCAATTCCTATTTCAGATGAGGCGTGTAGGGGGAACAGGACAGGACAGGAAGTGTTTAGACTGGAGGACAGCAGGAACACAGGTGTGGACATTAGCAGGACCCAGGAAGTACACACACATGGCCAGTCTATAAACTTAATATCAGTGACTCTACACTACAAAACACAGTCCTATGGTGTATCAGGAACTGTGCCAAGGCTTTGCCACTGTTCATAACATTGCCTATTAGGGACTAAATATCACCCTCAAGCATCTGCCACATCATCCCACCATTTCACTACATTAATTCATCCATTCAGATTAAATACTTTCTACGAACCAATCAATCGTTAAGAGCATAATCACAATTTCTTGTTTTCAAATACATCACATCATTATTAAGTTGTATCACTATTTGTTAGTATATTAATCATCCAAATCATTATCATTATTACCTATCACGGGATGATTGTGAGCATCTGACAATCTCCATTAGTTCTGTGGGCAGTTAAATCGGGCCCCCAACTAGAGTCTCTGGTGAGGTCCTGTCCAAGGTTTCTTGACTCTTAAAAAGAAAGTTTTTTCTTTCATCATCGCCAGTGGAACTTGTTTATTGGTTTTTATACTTGTCTCCGTCTTTACAAGGGGTAAGTACGGTCTAGACGTAAGCGTCTATTGAAAATATCCGAAGATAAACACTTTTGTTTATGAATACTTGGCATCATATACAAATAAAAATTGATATTTGAATTTGAATGAATTTGAATTGAAATCACCCCCCACCATTACCCTCAATCCACTTTGCCATTCTTCATCTTCAACATCAATGCCTATCATCAGTCCCATTTCTATGCTCAACTACAATCCAATTTTTTTATTCATTATCACCATTCTCCATTCTTATCGTTAATGTGCATCAGGTGAATCTATAAACATCATTCTCTTCTCATCGCATTGTCCTCATGATCATAAAGCTGTATTACATCAGGTTTACGAACATTTAATTATAAACAGGCCAAAAACCTGGAGCCAGGATAATGACACTCACACTCCCTTCTGCTGTGTTGGCTATCACAGCCTCTCTTTTGTTTGTTTCCAAGCCAGTTACTGCTCCAATTGTGCAGTCTCTGGAGTAGGAGCGGATACTGAAACTGCTGTTTTTTATCAGTGTCCTTACATCTTGAATTAAGGATTCTGTATTTTCCATCACAACCATATGTTCGGTGATTGTTGGAACAGGTGGGGAAGACTTACAAAGACCGGTTTTGGGAGTTTTATCTTGGTTTCAGTCAGGACCACTTTTGTCAAAAGCAACTTGTATTCCAATGCAGAATGGTTCCTTTGGCCGGTATGGCTCTGCTTTTGGGACCTCCTTGCCCTTCCGAACAATACATGCGGAAATAGTTTAAGACAAAAAGGAAGCGGCTCTTAGCACTGAGACCACCCAGAGGTACACAGAAATAACCGAGCAGAAAGTTCGAAATGGCCAACTAACGATGACATTTGTCAAATTAACTTAAAATATACCGACCACATATATCAAAGCGTAGGCAAGCCTGGATGGTGTTGAGGGTGAGGTCACAAAAAGGCTTGTTAGAGGGAAGCAGCAAGCATAGCAGGCCTAAAGCAGCTTAAATTAAGCGCCAATGAATGATATTTGCCAATTGGATGCCTTGGGGGAGGAATCAGGGTCAGCCGCTCAGCTGCATTACTGTATTAGATTTCCAATATGAAGCTTTGAGCCATCAGCTGATGTGTGTTTACGATTAGCTGTGATCAGCTAATATAGCTGGAATTGAGAGCTGAGCTTGACTTCGTGGCCTGCCTGAACTAACGCTGTGCTTAATTTCTGTCCACTTTCAATGAAGGTAGGATGTTATGATGATATGCAAGGTAAGATTACCGTTTTTGTCAATGGAGTCTGGTGGAGAGCCACAGCGATATTATGGGAGTTTCTGGTTAAACTAAAGGTCTATCTATGTAGGGATCCTTTCCAAAATGTTGTCAGACATTTAGAATAACAATGTGAGCCTGTCAGTGGCAAAAAAAAGAACAGACGGCCGCATTTGTACCCAAGGATAGTTAGTTTGCACTGCGGTGATTGCAGCCCTTTTAGTCAATATTTTCTCTTATAACTCTGTTCGACCAAACCAGCGTTAGTGATTGTTGGAAAGACTGCTGTAACACTAACATGGACAGTTTTGGTGAGTTTTATTGTGTTTCTGTCCCATTGTTTCAGTCTGAGATTACCATTATCATCATCATCATCATTGCACTGTAATGCAATAAGTTATTTTAAATCTTTTAACAACTATTGTTGAAACGGATTGGATAAAAAAATGTTTTGTAAATTTTTAAATTTGTAAATTTTGTAAATTAAAAATGTTGTTTTTACAGTAAAAATTTAAATTACAAAATTAAGTCAGTGTCACTTAAATTGACTAAAGCTAGATCAAAAATGTATTTTTTAACTAAATTTAGTGTAATCAGTTTCAACAATTGTTGAGGTGAATTAACTTATCTGGTTTTTACAGTGTGTGACCATCATTGTAATTATCACCAACATCACCTTCATCCTCATCACTGTCATCATCATCATTGATTATATTGATTGATTAATTTTAATTAATTTCATTACACTGTCATATATTACCCTTTTAGTTCATCCTGTTTTCATCATCACCACCAGCAATATCACCGTACCCTCCTCATCCTCAGTGCTGCTCTCAGTATGTGCATGTTTCAGCACTGCTCCACTTTGTTTAGGTAGAGCTAATTAGCAGCTAAAAATACAGCCTGGAGAAGGGCGTGCTAATGAGTTCAGCTCCAGTGCTTACAGTGTGCACTTTCTGGCCCGGGCGCCCCGGTAATCATTTGAATAATTAATGAATCTCCAGGGCAATATTCAGAGGGAGAATGTGGCAAATCGTATCGGCATGAAAATGATGACATCAGCTTTTGGCTTTATTCACACGACCACACGAGGCTTATAAAACAATGAGGGGTCATTTAGGCCCATTTTCATCTCAGTGTCTTTGTCTAATAAGCTAGATCAATCAGATGAGGGAGCTGTAGAAACACGGGGAGTGGTTGAGGGGGGAATTAAATGTTTGTGAGGGGGATAAAGTGCAGGTGAAAAGAGCCAGGACTGACTAAAACCATCTGATGCTGTTTCATCAGGAGTTCGTGCCAGTTTGTGCTGCTAGTAACTGTAGCCTAAAGACTCTCATTTACCAGACACCATTTGGAAGCTAACAGCTGACGGTAAGCAAGCAAAAAGATGGGATATGGAGAAAGAACTTGTTTGTTGATACCGTTTTAAAGCAAACACCTGCTAAACCTTGGAATGCCCTCCAGACAATAACACTACTTCATATACAAATCTAGGGAAGTACTGGAAGTAAACAAGACTCCATCACTGCAGTGGTGTCTCCCTACAATATGCACATGTTTGAATGCAAGCTATCCTTAGAAGTGCACAGTTTTCTGCTTTTCCCTTTACTGTCCATGTAACATTACTTTTACAAAGATGTCTAGGAAATAGGAAAAAAGTTGTACATTTATCAGCTGTCCCAACAGTAGTGGCAAACTTCTACTTTACTTCATGAAGAGTGCCCCTGTCTGAGAACATACCATTTACTGTATCTTTACATAAAGGACTAAGATGTTAGGATGCCAGGTGATTAATCAAACAATCTTGAATACCAATGAAAAAACATGAATTTGTATCTATAAATCTTTTACTACTATAGTTGGTCTTTGATTATTAAATGCCACTCTTGATCAATTAACCTTTTGTCGTAACAAGTGCCTATCTAATATGTAAAATTTGAATAATGCTATCATCGGCATCGATACTAGGTACATTCATCAGTAACTCGATGCCACTGCCTAATGTCATCAATCTAACTACTCATGCTGTTGTCAGTCACTACAACTTGCCACCATAGTAATGGCGGTGCCGCTGGATGGCAGAACACTAAAAAAGTATTGCCAGTTTTGTCTATATACAAGTGTGTATTTTGGACTCCTTATGAGTTAATGTGCTTTAAGGTTGTGCTTACGGGACTCAGCCCATACATTGGGTTGTGAATACAGTACATGCATAACTCTGTAACATTTTATGGCAAGTGACGCCATCCGTGATCTATTAACTAGAGGACAATCTCCCCTCACTTTCCCAGTATGGTCTACTAACAATCTCCCATGCTCTTCAGCTCTATGCATGCATTTGCTAATCTTGTGTATTTCATTTCTCTTGTGTGCAGATGGTTCAGCCTTGCTGACCTCCTCGGAACTGAAACATTGCTTGGTGCATGATACTCATGCTTGATTTTGGGTATTTAAAGAGTTTGGAGAACTTCCTCCTCCAGGAAGCTGCTTTAACTTTGGTGAAAATTAAAAAAAACTGGACTTTTAATTAGTTAATTAACTATTAAATACTAGTAGTATCTAAAAAGACATGCCTTTTCTTCTATGTATACATTACTTTATTTTCAAAGAGTGCTTACAGCATCGATGCCAGACAGCTGCATGCCGATGTTGATGACCACCACGCTGACCACCTGCCGGCGGACTGTGTCATCCAGCAACAGGTTCCATACAGACAGCGTCTCCACTGACGACAGAGAGCGCTGCTCCTCCTGCATCTCTTCAATCTCAGCCTGGATGTTACACTTGGCTCTGTACCACTTCAGGGCTGAGATACGGGACAGGAAGCAGAACAGTTACAGCACATCATGAAAAGATACAACAGCACATCTAAAACATAAGTCATTACCGCTACAACAGTTGATGTATTTGAGGAGATTTAAACACTTGGAAAGGCAGACAAGAAAACAAGCTAACCAAGATGACAGTAGTGTGGGTATAGATAGTTTTTTGTGCTAGTGGTTTGCCCTGCCTAATTGGCATGGCATATGTATGGCCCAGGACAGGAAGGCTCTGCATCTGTTGATTAAAACCGTAGTGAACATCATTGGTAGCCATTTACAGAGCATCAGTGGTATCGGTGAGGTGACCACTAGGACTGCCAATGAGAGTCACAACACTGACCTGTGATTGTGGCGTGGACATTGTGCTTCTCAATCAGCAGATACCTAGGGCTCTCTGGGAACCATGGCAACAGCATCAACTGGATGAAGGTGGGTACCACCACCACTGAGAGAAAGAGGGGCCAGTGCTCCTCCTGTAATAGTAGTACACAGTTATACTTACACACATGCTGAGAATGTTACTCTCTTAGGGTCATTGGCTTAAACCTGGGGACACATTTAGCATGAACTGCGGCTTGAATTGTTCTTCAGTCACAATCAACTTGTCTAGAGCAATAGTAGATGGTGTTTAAGTGACAAAAAATGTGACATAGAATCTACAAATTGCAACAACAACAAAAAACTTTGACTTTAAGCTTTATTCATGAGCTCATTTATTTAGCTGCAACCCTCTTAACAAACTGGGTTTTGATAGAAAGCAGCATTGACTACCTTTCCCAGAAGCTCGTGTAGGCCGAGGATTTGAGCAGCGAAGACTCCGGTGCCAATAAAGATACTGGGCACAAGACCCAGGAAGCCTCGCAGGTTCTTGGGTGCGATCTCACCCAGGTACATTGGTACTACACTTAGAGAGATACCTGCAGTGAAAAAAGCACAGATGAAGATCCATGTAATGATGCACTGATTTACTTTGACAAAATGTCCTACTTAATTCAACAGTAGTTTAAAGCAATATGGAGTATCTGAGCAAACAGAGCCAGAGTTCATCATCATCATCAATATTAACATCAGTCACTACTATTAGTGTAGTTGTTGCTACTGTTGTTGCTGTGCCACAGTCTATCAACCGTCTCTCTCACTGGATCTGAACTCTCTCTCTCGTCCTTAACTTCTCTCTGCTTCAGACGTCATATCAAGCAGAGGTATCCTTCTCTCGTCTCTCACGGCAGTTCATTCACCATCTCATCTCATGCTCTCTGCACCCCAAACTGGTTGAGGTGCGACGAGCCACCGTTTTGTCCTATGCTTGCTCCAGAGATCAATTATTAGTGCTTGCTCATAGGTGGTGAAACTGTTGGGCCCTCCATTCATAAAATCGCAACGTAGCCCACAGTTAAACCCACCCCGACTGTATCGTCTTTTTAACAAGGAGTACGGTCTAGAGCCAGTGCTCTATTTGAACAGATGTCCTGAGATTTTGTTATGAAAGTTGGCGCTATACATCTATTAAAATATCACTTTGATAACTGGAAGTGGAAATATTTGTGAACCTAACAATATACCAACAGTCAACCACTGCCACTCTTTTCATCGTTGCCAAATCAATGCCGATCATCATCGGTTCACATGTGGTATGGTTTAGTATCATTGTCCCATTAAGGCAAATAACACTCTTTAATATCTCAACGCATCTCCATCTTCTTCGTGTCCTGAGATAACTTTTGTTTGAATTTGGCGGGCTATAATCTGAATATAAAACTGAATTGGAGATTGAATTGAACACGGAAAGCATGCTGCTCATCATTGTGGCAATCCTGTTATACCTGAGGGTTCAATGCAATATCTTAAGTGCTGCAATAAAAAAAGTCAGTGCTGCTGTCTAGTTGATCATCAAAGATTAATTGTCAGTAGTTTGTTCAATCAATTAATGATTACTGTCATCTATGGTTTCATCCTTCTTAAAAAGGGAGGACTTCGCTCTTGTTAAATGTAAGATATCATCTTTTGGGGACTGTATTTGGAGCTAATCTTGAGACGATACGATACCTTTGCATTTTGTTGCACCAACTCGACTGCAACCTTGTCTTGGCAACATTTTACCAAATGTCGGATCGCAGTTCTTCCACAAACATCTGTCGGTTACCGAATCATCAGCACGCAATTCCCCACCGCTATCAATGTCACACATTCAACCATGAACGGCTAACACCTAACTAAATCATTGATTGACCACTGGTCATGCAAATGTGCTGCCTATACACGCCTCAACCCTCTTTGTTCTTCCAGCCTATGCTGCTATAACAGCCTCAACTCTTCTGGTTTCAGCCTTTTCCAGCAGATGTTGAACCTGGCTCCAGGGATTTGCTCCCATTCAGACCCCAGAGCATTAGTGAGGTCCAGCACTGATGTTGGGTGATGAGGTCTGGCTCTAAGTCAGAGTTCCAGTTCATCTCAAAGGTGTTGGTTGGGGTTGAGGTCAGGACTCTGCAGGAAGTCAAGTTCTTCCACAGCAAACTGGGAAAAGCATTTCTTTTTGGAGTAGGGATGGGACAATATATAATATTATTGCGATAAAAAATATGGTGAATTTCCTATATCATGATAATCATGAATTGGGATGATCGTGAATATCCTCACATGGTTCGACAGTCCATTATTGATTTCCTGCTTTATTTTGAACTATATTTTAAATAAATGCTATGTGTTTCTTAACAAAATGTGTGATAAGTGTTTTTAGAGCCATTTAAGTATATTTTTATGATTATCGTGATAATATTGTGTATCGCAATTATTCTGGCCAAGATAATAGTGACATGTTATTTTCATATAGTCCTATGCCTAGTATGGAGGTGGCTTTGTGCATGGTTGAATTGTCATGTTTAAACAGGAAAGAATGTTCCCTATGAATGGACAGTGGTGTCCACATACATTTGGCCTATATAGTTTGCATGCCTAATTGTATACAGCAGTAAATGGGAGCAGCTTAGCGTGCAGTGGATGCCGAAGTGTGTGTGTGTGTGTACCTGAGTGAATCCCTGTGACGAAGCGGCCAATGATGACCATCTCAGGTGAATTACAAATCCTGCTGAAGCCCATGAGTGACCCGGCAACAAACACCAGCACTGTTGTGTTTACCACTGTGCCTTTCCTGAGAGCACACACACACACACAAGCAGCAGACACACAGTGGAAGTGTTCAATTCTGTCGATGCAATATTTATCAGCGACGTTCGTAGATAAATCCTGCATTTCAGCCGTCTGAAGGGGTGTTCATTTTTTGGGAGCAACACACACACACACACACACACACACACACACACTAAAAGAGCATGTTGGGTTGGGAAGCTACAATTCTTTCCCCCAAGTGCAAGTCATTGTGTATTGGATTAAAGCTGATCACAGAGTTGGATGATAGCCTACAAATAAAACATGAACACAAATAACAATAACCTTACACTCCGCCTCACCTCTTCCTTTGGTAGGAGCCCCACAGTAAGGTCAAAGGTCAGAAGCAGGTGTAGAATCGGGTTCTTGCTCAGGAGCACTACAGAAACGATCCACCAGGAAAAATGATTTACAAAGAAATGTCTTACATACTTTCTGAGGACGGGTTTGTATGAATGGTGATTGGGGAGGTCTTTGTGTGTGTGTGTGTGTGTGTGTGTGTGGTGGAGGTGAGGGAGATGGAGAGGGCGAGCGATGACATTATGCATATGAGGCGGTAATTAAAACATGGCGGCCGTAATTAGGAACATTGTATAACTAATCAGGCCTAATGAGCATCGGGGGCGGGCAAGGCGGTGATCAAACGGCCGAGTTATGAGGCTTAATGGGCGGAGAGCAGGATGACAGTCCCCCTGTTTATTCAGCTCCACCGCTTCATTACTTTTTATTGTTGAGGCCATAATGAGAAACAACATCTGAAAATAAATAAATGAATTTAAAGAAATCAGTCCAGGTTGTCAGCATAATGAAGAGAATGGGGGAAAGAATGTGGCGGAATAGGATTTATTTAAGATTGACTATGGGATCCTATATGTTATTATTATTATTATTATTATTGTGTGTGTGATATACAAAACCGGTAAAGGATCCAGTGGAATAAATACCAGACGTGATGAAAAATGCAATGGCATGCATGAATTATGAAAACCATAACAATATCGTAGCAGCGATATCAATATTTACACAACAGGAATCCCAGATCTTGGGAAAGCCTTCTTTACTGAGAAGAAGAAGAAGAAGAAGAAGAATGAAAAGAAAAAGAAAAGGAGGAGTGTGACAGGTTTATAAAAACCAAAACAGGCCATATGTCTTCTTGTAAGGTCCAGATCGAATTAATAAATAATCACAATAATTCGGATGAAAAAAAAGAAAAGAAAATATAAATCCCAGTCCCATTTTTTGTGGTTATTTATTGATTATGGATTTTGGCTTGTGCAGTTTCTGTTTGGAGACCTGTGTGCTTTGAAAGAGGACTCGTCTGTCACTGAACTATGAGACTGATATTCAATAAGAAATTAAACTTTAACTCTTGTTATGGGCATACATTTCCGCCTCTGTCTCGTTAGTGTCAAGCTTCACGTTAAATATGCGATTTCAATTCCCATCAATAATGTAGCACAGCCGCCATTTAAATATTAATTTCGCGTTTACACTCAGTTTATAGACAGTATATGTGCTGCGTAAAGTTAACATGAGTCATATTCTCTGTTAGAATTAGAAAAAACAGTATATGCTCCGCGGCAGACGTTTCATCTCTTCCTCTCAACCTGGAACTGCATCTTTATTTAATGTGCGCGAGAGGAGAGAGGGCCTCCCCGCCACGAGTGCGCGAGCGAGTGCCACACACACACACACACACACACACATATATATATATATATAAACGCACGTGCAGGATGTGGGATCAGACACTTGGAGGCTGTGTCACGCGCCAAAACGGAACACCCGCGCGTCCCGCACATACAAACACTTACACGCACGCGCGTAAAAAGGCTTAAAAATGAAGAGGGGGATTTCAGAATAAATGCAGGCCTACTTATTACAGTGTGGACTGTTCTCTGTGTGTTTTTAAAAAAGAAATTAAAATCTTCTTATATTAACAGGGACGTTAAATAAATGAAGAAGGATAAAATCAAATGAATATGATCTGCTGTGGTTAATCATTTAAAAAAAATAAAATAAAATAAAAGCCCCAGTTAATTTGTTATAAGAGATGAAAAACACATGTTTAATTAAACTACTTAAATATAAAATAAATATAAAATGCGATATTATAATGTTTTAGGTTTAAAACAAAAAATAAATTGGATTTATTATTATTGTTAATATTATTTTTGTCTTTGTGGGTTCAACGGTAACATAATTATATAACTTATTTATTCATTTCAAATATTAAAATCCTTCAAATTTGAGCACCCTAGACAGCTGGACAACGAAATGTTTCCTCTATCTCTCCCTCGCGCAAACACACACACACACACTTGCACACACACTTACACGCCTCACGCGCGCTCACACACCGAAATTATTTATACGTCAGCCCTCCGCCAGCCGCCGGTGGATGCTTATCATCACCGCATCGATACACAAAATAAAATCAGCAGTGGAAGTTAATCACAGAGCCCGCGGGCCTGCAGGCTGCGGAACCATCAGAACCGTCAGAGCGGAAATATTTGCATCATGTGTGAACCGGTAGGGACGGCAAAGGGCCGGAGAAACCAATCACTGCATCACATTTGTTTAGTTTCCTTGATAAATATGTGCAGGTGATAATGGTGGCTTTTCGAGGGTGGGTGATTTCATCTTTTCATTGATGGACTTTTCCTTTTGGGGTTTTCTCTCCAACGCGCAGCCTCTACTGGAGTTTCCAAAACCATATCCAGCAGAACAAATCCAACACGCTATTTTGAAAACCGAGTGGAAGAAACAAGATATAAATACGAACTTCCACTTAATTCAGAGAAATATTTTCAAAGAGAGGCACTGGTATGGGCTTCTCTAATCATGTCTCATCAATAATGCATTTTAAAACTGACAGGATGCCCGAAACGCAGGGCGGCTACAACATGAAGCCCCGTTTCTCGGACGGACACCGGCTAAACTTCACCGTTTAGTTACAGTACAATTTTAATGAAATTAAATTTATTGACGGCGGAGAGGAGAGTTCTGGTTTCAGCTGGATGAAAAGCCCAGATACTGTAAAACGGATTTGAGCCCATATTGCAGCAGCATATTAAATCACTAAACCTCCTAGTTTATTTTCTAATCTAATCTAATGTTATTTAGATTATATTAGATGTTAAAGTTTATAATCCTTATGAGATAAAAAAAAATTATTACCAGATAAAACGGACGGATTATAGTGAATTATAATTAATTAATAAGGAAGGCAAAATAATTATTTTGATCATCCTAAACTTGTCAACATTCAAAAATACGTCGATGAATTCATATAAGACCTCCATACATTTAACATCATCATTGATAGATGGAGGTAACACACTCCGGGTACAGTATGTATCACATTATGTACATAATCATTATCTACAGTAAACTAATAAGCTGATGAGGAGCATCTTGCTTATATAGCATAATGCAAAAAGTAAATCATTTCAAATGCAAGAATCCTGGTAGATAAAATCAACTCACACCATCTCAGAAACATACATTTAAAGTTGTTTTTGCACTTATTGGTGGTTGTTTTAATCCGTCTTCACCAGAGTATTGCTGGACTAATGCGTTTTTAGCATAAACACCACACACCAATACACTAGGAAAAATGCGAAGTAGGCTGGATGAAAAACTCAGAATTGGGCTGCTGGGCCACTTTGATTAAAAAGCAAACTCATCTTCCCAGAAGTCCCTTTCAAATGCAACAAACTGACAGAAACAAACTGACATAGAGACCAATAATTGGTGTGTGTGGAGGCTGGCTGGATGTGTGTATATGAGGGTGTGTGTATGGTTGGTTGGGGCTTGTGTTTGGGGATTTGCTCCTTGTGGACTGGGTAGCTTTATTTCTCTGCCCTATATATCTGTCCGCCTTCACTCTCTCTCTTTTCCCTCTCTGCTCTGGAGGCTGCTGCTGCTGAAGGGATGTATGAAGCGCTACTTTCTTGTCTAGGTGATGAATAATGCAGGGCTCGGAGGCCAGCAAGTTTCCAGTTAAATACCAATTTGCTTAACCAGTGTTTCCAGCCTCTGCCAGCTCCACTCAGTATAGCAGGGAGCTGCACTGGCCTTTGGTAATTAAAGAAAAGATCTATATCTGCAGGAGTGGAAAAGTCCTTCTGCCCAGCGTGTGGTCATCAAGCGGTCGCCCTGCGTGGTCACACCTCCTGATTTTATTTATGAAGCTGAAATTTAAACAGGCGCAAATCACCAAGTAGCAGGTGGAAGAAATCAAAAGCAGTGTTGAGATGGGTTTTAAGTTTCCAAAGTTTTAAATATGTTTCAAAAAAGAGTGCCTTTATATTCACTGTTTTAAGATTTCAGCACATCCTATGAGTAAATAAGACCTCTTTTTCAATACTATTGAATTACTCTTTAATTAAAGCTCTGCCATCACAATATGAGAAACTGGAATAACGAAGATTCAAGTCTGAAGTTATGTTAGAAGTCTGTAAAAGTTTGATATGCATTCATTGGTGACCAGGATGAATGATGGTTTATTTAAAAGCCCCCACACAACCTACATAGTGTGTTCTCACTCAATGTGTCTGATTAGACCTCTTTATTGGTCTGCTCTATGGGCAAGTACAGACTGAATTTGCCTGATGTTTCCCTTACTGTCTGTTAGCTTTGTTGCGCCTTTTAAGACGGGACAACTTTATCATTCTTATTGGTACAGTTTGATGACCTCACATAATCCCCAGCACAGCTCCAGCGATCTTGACCTGGCATCCAAGCTAACAAAATATATGATAACACCTGTTTTCATGATTGTCATGATTCTGTGTTGCACTTCTCACAGCTGCACCTGCCAATCAAACACAGTAAGCCGGACTCTGACGTCTTCCTTGGATTTTCTGTTAATGACGTTTGAATTTTGGGATCTACCTATCCAATCTATCTTTTATGTAGAGACAAGCATTGCGGCTATCTTTGCTCATGCTAAACACCAAGTTCTATCTTTTCATTGTCCTTACAAGCAGCCTCTTGTGTTTGTGAGAATAATGGCTGTCCTCTCTCATAAGCGAAGAGTGATGTTACAGTGCCACAAAACCTCTTTGGGAGAAGGAAGAGGAGTACACAGTGCCGAACATTGGCCCCATTTACACTTATCATTTCAAGTGTCTCATATCCAGATAAAATCCAGATGGGATTGAATACACTTTTTATTTACACTTAGCCACATAGTATAAGCATCTCTATTGGCCCGATCCCAAAACGGAGTGCTGTTTTTTAATGAGACAGCGAGCGAAGGCCATCACATGAGATAATTTAAGTAATCAGAATTCCACTTTGCACTTTTTATATATCAAGTCAGTGAGCCGATCCACCCACAACACAGTGTAAATGTGGTCTTAAATGTCTTAAGTGAGTCTGTGTTTTTTAACCATGGCTTTAACCAAGGAGCTTTCACCTAAGAAAACCATTAGGGTGCCAGATCAAAAAAGCTCATGTGAGTCTTTTTGGATGGTCCACCAGCCAGAATGTTACTACTGTGGTGGCTATGGCAGTTCGATCACGAGCATGTCAAAGTGTCTTTGGGCAAGATACGGAACCCCTAATTGCTCCTGATGCTGTGCCTTCGGTGTGTGAATGTTTGTGAATGGATTAGTTGATTTCTGATGAGCAGTTGGCACCTTGCATGGCAGCCTCTGGCATCAGTGTATGAATGTGTGCGAATGGATGAATGTGACATGTAGTGCAACGCGCTTTGAGAGGTTGGAAGACTAGAAAGGCACCATATAAGAGCAACTCCATTCACCATTAATTATCATCACCATTAACAGTTGAGGAAGAGCACATCTATATGCAAGTAGTCGTAGTCCAGTCCTGCAGCTATGGGTGAGTGAAATTTGTTCCCCCCGGCCAAGAAAGCACAACACTCTAAAAAGTAAACCATTTTACTGGTGGAGCCTGTTGCGGGATTTTTTACTCAGCACAGCTACTGTATTACTTACACTACTGAGAGTTGGTGGATGGTTTTGTCTAGAATATTTTCTTATATTTATATCTAAAGCATGATTCACTAAATTGCCCAAATATAAAACATCTTAAATTAACTTTAAAACTAACTGATGTCTGGAAGTCTAGATAATATCCAACTCCGTACAAAGTTCCCCATACTAGTTGTTGTTTTTTTTTTTTTTTTCACACACAACATGGCCTTTGAGCAGTGGGTCTTTTGTTTTTTGGGTGATTTTATTGGGCTGTCCAGACAAATTTAGCTAAATTGTTCAAATGAATCATTGTTTGTGGGTTCACTGACTGGGTGGTTTTGGAAATATATGTGCCAGTGGTTAATACAATGGGCTTGAATATGTTTACTGGTAAAAAGTCAGTGAGAAGAATTGACTAAGTAGAACTATAGCAAGGCATTTACTATATGAGTGCAGGCCGTTCCTCTTTCCATGTGAGCGTTCTTGACGTTGTGGATCGAGACAGTATGCCATTTTACAAGTGATGCCAGAGTTGAGGCTCTGCTCCTCCGTATCAGCTTTCCCGGTTCACTTAAAAAAGCAGCAGAGCTGATTGTGCTAGGGCGTGGAGTCCATTGCTGAGTCCCCTGCGGCAGGGGGTTCTAGTCTGTTTCCTGGTCGTTGTGGACTTAGACCGAACGAGGGCTCCAGTACCCGTGTTCATAGGACCTTTTGGGCTGCTGTGGTCCCCTTAGGGGTTGTCGTCCTGTCTGCCCATGTTTGTGCGTGTCCTTCCCTTGCATTTCTTGCCCTCATTGCTTCCTCCCCTTCCTAAGTCCAATCTCACCGATGGCGGTTTTGAATGTGCAGTAACGAGGAATTCAGGCCCGCGTCCCCTTGATTTCTTTGCTCATAATTTTGTCCTCGAAAATAGTAAACTACTGTTGCCTCTTCTGTTCCCGTGTTTGTCTGTCTTTGCTTAGGTTTTGCTTTTTTTTGGTTCGGCCAATTGCACTTTATTAAAGAGGGTTTATATTTCCATCTATAGTATAGCCTTTTGTTAATCAGAGATACCCGTACAGCCTTGCAGCCTATAAATCCACAATGAATTCAAATTCTGTTAGCCTTTCTGATTGTCCGTTATGTGTGGCTGTTGTTTCAGCTACTCATGCCGGTGGTGGTTGTCGGTGTCGGTTTTTTGTTGCGACGCCTGGTGTTTGAGAATGGAGGAATGATTAGAGGAACTTACGTAGTTTAGATTGAAGATGGGTGAATGACAAGCTGATAAGAGAGAAAGAAGGAGGAGGAAAACAGATACAGGAGAACAAGGGGGAAGCAGGTCGAAATTCGGACGGTACGAAGAAGTGCGGAGAGGTGAGCGAGCCAAGTTACAGTTGGTGAGAGAAGGACTGCTTATTTTGGGGTGGTTGGGGAAAGGATTTATGAAGAGGTGTGGTTGGTCGGTGAACACGAGTGCTAAGAATGATTTCATCGTAACAGTATCCTGAGGAAGGATTGGGGATGAAGCCGAGGAAGTAAGAGGAGGATGAGCTGCAGAAACAAAATAGATGAGGCGTGGTTGAGGTGGTGAAGTGGAGGAGCCGTAGCCACACGAGGTTGGGGAAAAATTCAGGATTTCAGTAGGTATATCATATAGTAAAGAAGACAGAGGAGATGTGGGAGGTGAGGGAAAACAAGGCGAAAGAAGTGAGTGAATAAAGAGGGATGAATGTGTACGAAGTATATAGAAGAAGGCGTTTAGAGACATTGACTGCTAGTGTGCAGAATCGTGATTGTTAGGTTGAGGGAAGATGAGTAGAACCAGGAGGGTCACGAAATGACTGAGTGGAGAGGAGGAAGAAGCTCAGATTGTGGGTGAGAGTCGAGAGTGGCAGGTAGTGAGTTCGAACAAGAGAAAGAAAAGAGCACGTAGGATAGAGGGAGGTGGCTAGATGACCAGTGGGCAAGTGAAGAAGCAGAGAGTTGCAGAGAGATCGAATTTGTTGGAGCTCAGGTGACAGTCCCTCTTTGGCAAATAGGAATGAGGAGTTTTGAGTGTGAGAGAACGGGAGGCAAGGCAGAGAAGAGAGACGGAAGGACCGAGACGGGTTCTTTGTGGACATAGAGGCAAGAAGGTGGAGGTTAATGAATCAAACATAGATGCAGCAGTGGGGAAGAAGGTAACTGGAAAGAGAGGAAGCGAGAGAGGAGAGAGGAAATGGTGGCCAAAGGTTTGCCACGAGAGAGAGGAAGATGCAGGAGCAGTTCGAGGAGGTTGGATATTTGCATCAACGAAAATACGCGGTAGGAGATGGACAAGGGAGGAAGAATGGATATGAAAGACAAAGCAGAGGTGGCGTCGTAAATTAGGAATTGGTTGAAATATGTGGTGCAGAATGCGAAGAAAAAAGGAATTACCATGGTATGGAAGGACATGTGGGGTGGACCGACGGGGACAGAAACGCACAGGAAGAGGAGCGTGCCGGGTGGCGAGTGAGGATCACCCAGAAGGCGCCATTGATTTCTGGATGCATGAAATGCGCAGACTGCCTTTGTGTG